TTTTTAAACTACTATGTTTCCATTAAGTGAATTTATAATTGTAATTCCACATTTTTGCAAATTTAAGGCCCATGGAAAAATTACAGGAAAAAACCCCCCAATAAAACAGTAAAAATGGGTGGCTGGTAATCTTCCATGGAGACTGTAGTCGGTCTTAGTTTGTCTCCAAAATGTATTGAGCATATTCAATCTGAAGCAAGCCTGTGTGAAAATAAGATTCACTATAACCGCTACAATATTTGTGATTTTAAAAAAAAGAATTTTATTATGTTTGTTTCCAGGATCTGGTCATTCTGCCCCAAAAAATGTAAATGCTTCATCACAGCCAATGACACTGTGTCACGTCACTGGTGGTTTACTTATTTATTAAATCTTTTTTTGTTTTGTTTTTAGGGGGTTGGGAGATGATGGTTACGGTCCTGTAAAGCATTTACAAAAGCCACTCAGTGGATCAGCCTCTCAATCCCTCACAGGAAGTATTCAGTGGAGAGATAGATGGAGGCAATCCTTCCTTCCCATCAACCACCTCATTAGTCCCCCTCAGCCATAAAGCTGTCCCATCAGGCCGTGCTGTCATAACTCACTTTGGAGCATTGATTTTAATCACGGCAAATGTAAACATATGTATTATCAATATCAATGCACAAAATAACTCTGTAATATGCAATTACCAAATGCCATCGATTTTCTTTTTTTTCCTCCTCCTCCTTCTGCTGTTTTATTTCTCTCCCTTGGTCTTTTCCTCAATTCAATATAATCATGGGATCACTTTGAACTGATTTAATAAGGTCTGTATATATAAATATATGTGACATGCTGGCATTGGGTGAATATTACAGGGGATCATTTTCATAAATTTCAATACAGGGTTTCAGAGTGTTGCCTGGAGGGAGGTGAAACCAGGACACAGCAGGAAGTCATTATGTAGACGACAGGGACACCACTACCGATGTAAACATTTAATATTTTCATACGGTTTATTGTTTTGGGGGAACTTGGAAACATTAGAACTTTTCTGTTTCTTTTTGTTTTAACCAAATGTATAAAAGGAACAGAAAAGAGAGTCCATGTATCGGTTACCAAAAAGCTGTTTCTCTAGTATGACCAGAAATGATTAACACCGTAAGTTATTGAATTAGACGTTGGTTTCTTTGGAATAAATCTTTACAAATCGGCACGATGACAAAGGTGAAGACGTGTTTTTAGAACATTTCCAACTCGCAGCAGTCCGGACTACTTGCTGATTAATTCAGCAAATAATTTTTTCGACCACCAGCGCTGAGGTTATGTCAACACAGCAGGGAAATGTAGGCCATATGCCGTATCCCACTTTCTTTTTTTTTTTATTTTTTTTTTGTCCAAATGTGAACCTTAATCAGCGCAAGTAGGTTTTTTCTTTCAAGTCGAAACCGCTCCACTTTCATATGAGGTCATAAAACCGCTACATGTTTTAACATGACCTTAATATTAATGGTAATGTAATAGTTCTCACGGAAGTTGCCACTGACTTTCAATTTTTTTTTCCCCAAGATGATCATATTAAAATAATGTCTGAAAAAAACATTTTACTGATTTTTTTTGTTTGTTTTTTAAAGAAATGCATTCATCTGCTTCCTGTTTAGACTTAAGTAAAACAAGTTTAAGATTACCCAAAAGTAACAAGTAAATTTGAGGACCACATTTGTTATACTTAAGCACGACACCAGAATTAGTAGTAACATAAAATATATTGATCAGCAAATGTTTCTGTATGCCACGTTGCATCGACACAGCCTTTAATCCACATAACTTTCATTTCCCTATCCAAAACAGACAGTTTTCAAGAGTTATTTTCCTCCAACAGAGCTGTACAGTAGACGCGCTCTCTGCAAAACAACCCTCGAGCGCACGCTCGCTTGCTTCACCTCACACACAGTTTCAGGTGACACAGCCTGGACCCAGACTGGATCAATCTGTCTCCATTTGTCACTGACCTCTTCCACGTTCCAAGTCTGTCACCGCGAGTGCACGGGCGCATCTTTATCTCCAGAACTGTAAAAATAACCTTTGACAGGTGTATCGAGGACGCGGTCCCCATTCTTACATGAGTGCTTCCAGTGAAAGCCTGATTGTTACCTGTCTTTACATGAAACAGCTCGGAAAAAATGGAGGCACAAAAGGGACTGACAGCAAAAAGAGGCGCGGAGGGGGGGCAGAGTGGGGAAGAGAAGCAGAGGGGACAATGGTGGGGCGAAAAACAATTGAGTAAAATCAAATCGAACAACAAAGATGAGAAAACCAAAGTGATAAAGGTGGAAAGGAGATGGGTGGAGGAAAAGAAGAAGGAAGAAAGAAGATGGTACACACAGATAGTGAAATGAAATCGGTTTGGAATTATTCTGCCTGGAAAAATATGGTCCTGCATAGGTGCTTGGTGTTAAAGGAATGAAGAAGCTAGCAGAATAAATGATTTACTGCTTCACATAGACTGTTTTTATGTTGCCGATGCATCTCTGCCGTGAACAGAGCAGGATCCCGCACTTATACCATATGCCTAATCCATAACCATAACGGCGGCGTGGACATACATATGAAGACATTTGCTCCGTATGATAATGTTCATCGCGGCGCTCGTATAACCGTGTGTACCGATCCCGTACATATAAACAGATGTTTGTGACAAACCTTTAGCACTTCAGAAAGTGAAAATGGCACCGAGTAAAGTCGCATGATTCCTTTATTGGCATCCTCTCCCTCTCGTCGTAAATCACAGCCTTGTTTTTCCTCTTAGATTCTGCATATGACGTGCGTATTAAACCCACCAAACGGTGAATAATTATTCCCTGTCAAAACTTTTCTTTTCTTCTCCCCTGAAACGGCTCCATCTGAATTTATACCTGCCACCCGTTTGTTCCCTGCGTTCATTTGGAGCGGTTCTAATGAGGACAAACTGCTCCCTGGTTGAGCCGCAATGGCTCTGCTGACTCCAAGAAGAACTAAAATGGCTGAATGGAAATGAGCGGGGGCAGAGGAGGTCAGGCCTCCGCATCAATTCTCATATTGCATGCTGGCGCCGCGCGCGCTCACGTGCACGCGCTCTCACAAACGACCGCTGCGCACCGAGGTGTCTGAGGTGTATAATGGTGACAGCAGCCCCTCTCCAACCGTTCCTCTGCTCTAATATCATCATTTGAATCGCCTTTTTCCTCCACCTTTCTTTCGGGCTCTGTCTCTCATCTCTTAATATTATCATGTGAATAGCCAGCAGGTGATGAGATGTTACACCAGGGTTCAAATAGAGGAAAATGAATTGGGGGGGGGGGCTGGAATAACTGTGTCAGAGCCATACTGGTGTACCCATTTGCCCTCTTAAACCCTTTTTATTTTATCACAGAATAAAATTGAAAACTGTACAATATATTGAATTTCTGTCATAACCAATATCTACAGTATGTGTACAGTATTGCAGTAATAAAGTAATACTTCGACGCAGTTTCTCTTTGGTTATATAAATTCAAGAATCCATGCGCTCACAGTTTGCTGACCATTAATATTTTTGGTCACCGAGTCTAAAACTGATGCCCACACAGGTACCTGGAGCAGCAAGAAAATCCAATAACCAACAATAATATTGCAATTGCAAGTTCTTCTAATATTGTGCAGCACTATTAAACTGTAATTTTCAACCTTGTCAGCCGTCCCAGCAGGTCTATGGTACACATACTCAAATTGTATGCATAAGGAATAAGGAAAATATGACACTGTAATCTTGGTAATCACCACCTTTTAAATTGATTTTGAGCAGCTCTCTGAGATGAGAAGCTCGTAACATTGTTTTATAACCTCACCCTGACATGTACCTTAGCTAGAATCTGTGCTTTTGAATTATTTCTTTGTTTGAAAAGAAAAAAAAAAGTCTTTGGATTTAGTCAGAAATGCTGTAATACCAATATCACACCAGTAGGTGGCCACAGCATCAACAATGAGAGAAATTCTAATGGGAAATCTGAGAAAGGCTAACGCAGTACAGGGCTTAAAAAAAAATCCTTCCAAAGCAGTTTTACATGTGTTATGTTTCCACATTTGTGATTACACTTCATAGAAGCAAAGTCAGGAAAAGCTGAGATGGATTAGGATTGTCCATCAAGAAGGTTCCAGGGTTGTCTTGTTTTCAAGCACAGAACTCGATGCATGTGCAAAGCAGGTGTGTACGTTTTTATTTCCGCTTATGTCTTGATGCCCAATCCACGCACATACACAACAAAAACCTCTCTAAATTGCCCTTCGGGGTGATTGAGTACATATGTGGTCGTTTGTCTTGTGCTAGCAAGCTTTGCAGAGTGTGCACTCCCTCTCACCCATTGATTTGGACAAGTGGAGCTGGTTGGATGTCTTTTTCACCCTGAATTGTTTGCATGTGTACAAGAGCTCTGAATACTTTGGAAGTATCGTGATAGTGAAGCTAGAGCCTTAACTCAAACTTGCACGCCATATTCCTTTGTCGCTATCCTTTGTTCTTCTCTAATGTTCTTTAGCAAACCACTGAGAGCCTCACATAGCAGCTATGTTTACAATGAGACTGAATCCGTGTTTCCTTTCATGGTATCAGAGTACAAGGAATGTACGTTTCATACACACACAATGTCAAAACCCTCATCATTTTGCTTCTGCGTCCAAAACTATGACATGTTTTGTGTTCTCCATCAATGTATGCAACAGATTTTTCTAAACAACCCTGATCTCACGAAAGGTCATCTCTACTTTACATCAGTGAATCACAAAGTGGGACTACCCTTTTACATTTACAGATGATTTAGGGAAAACAAATCTCTTGGCGCAAAATGACTTTGGCCATTATTTTAGGAAACTAGAGAGATTAACCAAAGCACTTGCCAGTTAACCCCACCCGACCCCCATGACGCCTTGGTCATTGCACAAATCCCTCCTAGGTGGCCGGAAAACATTTTAGGGCCAGCTTTTAGTGTTTTAGTGAAAGGGAGTATAGTTACTATGCGGCTTACCTGCTACCTTTTTCCCTCATTGGCCCTCGTTTCTCTCTCCGTTTGTGTTACTCTCATCTGTTTTCTCCTGTTAGGAGTGTTAGCAGGAGGCAGAGAAATCATAGAGCCATCAAAGGTTGCCAGCTGTAGGAAATGTCTTCATTTGCAATATACTAGCCTCACACCTGAGCTCCAGGCCTCTGTATTACTGTGTGCGCCTGCTGGTGTGTGTGTGTGTGTGTGTGTGTGTGTGTGTGTGTGTGTGTGTGTGTGAGACTGATCGTCAGCCGTCCCAGCTTCCCAGCAGGTCTGTCTTTAAATTGTCTCTGTGTGCTTTATGGCTCAGTGTGTGTGATAGCACTGCGTGTGTGTGAGCGTGTGGCGGCAGCTCTGCACCCCATCCATCAGTGTTAAGATGGCACATTACTGTTAATGAATGATATTTGTGTTCACCGTGTATGTCAAGGGGGTGGACTGGGAAAGCAAAACAAGCTCTCCCAATCACCTCACTTGTAGCCTTCACATTTTCTATGTCAGGTTCCCCTGCTGCTTTGCATTTTAAAAAACGGATTCAGCTGAACCATTAGCTTAGCTATGTTAGCTATTCCACAGAGCTGAAACAATACCGTTTATTTCCACATTTTTTTTAAAAAAAGGTCAATAATGTTCTGCTAACTCTGCTTACCCTACATGTATGTGTAACCAGGTGAGAAATGGGTAGCTGTAAATACTTTTGTAAACCCTGTTTTGCTTTTATTTCACGTTGTGGCTGTAATTCTTGTTTTTGTCAGCATGTGGTGCTGTTGTTACAGAGAGCTCTAAAAGTACCGGAAGTTGATAAAAGAAAACAACAACTTTTGTTTACGATCTCTGGCATTCTTACTAGTAAAACGGAAGAGAAGGACATGTTTGAGCCGGGACCTTGAAAGAGACGACGATATTATGGCCACATGAGTGAAGAATCCAGATGTTTGGTAATTAATGTCTGAACTGTATTACTTTCCGTGTACGAAGCTGAAGGTCATGCTGACGTCATGTTTGTCTTTTTGTCCTTTAGCGGTGCCACTGTTTGTTACAAACTATTTTTTTTTTCTTTTTTGCTATGGAGCTGCGTTGATACTGTGTTGAGTGCTAATAGTGTTGCTAACGCGCCATTTTGCTGAAGCCTTTGCTAATTAGGATCTTTTTACTAGTTTTACACGGACCATTCACGTAACAAGACTATTTTTGCTCCATATATTGAACTTTATACTTTTTATTTTGGCGACTCAGAAACAAATATCCTTTTGGGGAATAAAGAACCCCTCTTATTTGAAGTCCTGTGTGCTCTATTAATCCCGCTTCATATGTGTTTGATGCTTCATGATGCGTAAAAATTATCCGTTGTCTTTGCAGTCTTTCCAAAGAGTCTTGTTTGGAAGGAAAATAAGCAATTTAGAATCTGAGATGTACCGTGCTTATTTTGAAGTCACCTATCATTTCTTAATTTTTTCTTTTCTCAAAGTGTCTACAAACTTCCTTGAGGAATAACTCACAAGGCTTTTTTGGAGGGAGTTTGTAAAGGTAGTATTTTCATTTTTCTCACTTGTCATAATGCAGTCCTTGTACAGTAAACACTGACTAATGCATGCTTGTACTGAAAATGGTCCAACCTCATGGTTAGAATTGCAGGACGGGATGTTTGGCAACAGATTTTTAAAGCGTTTTTAATTGAAATCATGAGCTGTAAATTGCTTTAACACAGTCCACAACGTAAATTACTTATTTTACCCTCAGAACATGAAGGAGAGCAAAATAAAAAAAAGTAAATGTTATTTGGGAACCTAATTTATGACTCAGATATGCAAATTGTTTGGATAATTGCAAAATGTTACATAACATTTTAGAAGAATAATACATTTAGCTGAACAGGGTTGAATTTTCCTCTTGGAATTTCTTAAAGTCTTTTGACCTTTTTTCTAATATATATAAAAAAAAGCCTGGTTCTTGACAGTCTTAGATCAGAAAGAATTTCAATGAATCTATCCGTTTCTAATGAATGTAAATGTGCCACTAAAGTTGTACAATAATGACACGCATTACATTTTTTTGCCACCTTAATCATCCGCTCCTTGAAACGTCCAAAGTATCCCTGGAAAAATTTGCAACATTTCACTGCAAATTTTCAAATCCTTTCTGCCAGGAGGAGACAATTCGCCCATTAGCTGTTGAGGAAATAGGTGAAAGTGGAGATATCAAGTGTCAGGATACCAGTGGGAGTATTACTGTGCGAAAGAAGCTCATAATCCACTGTTCACAAATTGTTATGAGGTTGTGTGCTGATGCAAGCAGGAGCATGGGGACTTTATGAGCGAAATGGGTGAGAAAGATGTCTCCAGCCAGGTGTCAGTAATATGTAGAACAGCTTTCACCTCACCCGAGCCATTTCTTCAAAACCTTGAATAATAGGACTTTTTTTTTTTTTGTCTTCCAATACATGGAGGTGTTTGAATTTCTTCCAGAATAGATATTGTATGATGTTTCATATTAATATGTTCAGGTAGAGAATTGAGAGAGGGAGGGATAAACTGATAGATGGATAGACTGTGTCAGACTGGGTGACTCTGCTTTGTCACACAAGCCCCCAGCAGATGTCACTCACTCATTAGTGAATAATGTGAGAGAGCAGTCGGGTGGAGAACCGTTTCCCACAACCTGCCTCCAACTTTGGTGAGGCTCGTGGCTGTTAATATGCTAATTTTTACAGACATAGTCACTGCAAATTTCAGGAAGCCTATTTTTACTTTTGTTTTATAATATTTTCCATCTGCTCTACAAGTTGCTAATGTGTAATATATATATATATGTTTGTTTTGTTTTTTTAACCCAGAGGAAATCAACCCCTTTTTGGCGCTTAGCCAATGTTAACACACCGACTGGGTTATTTAGTCTCCAAAAGACAATGAAATTGTCAGTTAACCTCTGACATCTGCATCCTGCTTTGAATGCCCAGGCTAACCAGCGGCAGGGTTTTACGTCGACGAGTGCCAAACGCCGCCGATGTGTGAAACAGGAAGCTAACTTGAGCCACTCACGCCACCCCACACGGCTAACAAGCTGAAGAAAGTAATCTTGGCAGGAATTGCAAGAACGGGCAACATGCGGGCGGGTGGAAGAGGAAGAAATCAGAGGGACGACTGGATGCAAAACACAGGATGGCTGAGTCGAGGAGGCTAAACGAGGAGCTCGGGTAACGAGTGACGTAGCGGCGGCGGTCGAGGGAAACACAGATGCTGTAAACATCCTGTGGAAACCTCGCTCTCTCTAAGTCTTTGTCAGCACTAAGCATCAGAACAGCTGATCATCAACAAGCAAGCGATGCATATTCATGGTGTTGTGACATCTGCCTGGTAAAAATTTAAGCTTCTTAGTGTTTAAGCACATAGCGTTTGTAACACTAGGACACATGTTGGAGAAATAATAATGAAGAAATAAGAAATAAATCCCTCTTCAAATTTAAATCCATGTATGTGAATTAAAATAACTGTAGCTTAGCCTCTTCAGCTGCAATGCAGCTTAACTCTGTTTAGAAAGCTAATCAGATATTCTGGCACTGTCACCTGAAAAAAAAAAAACCTTAACTTTTTAATTTGTTTCTGGAGACCCAACATGTACAGTTTACTGTCATAAAAACGTCAAATCCGTAGCTTTAGATGAGTAAAATGAAAACGACTGATATTTTGCAATACAATAAGTAATAGTAATTTTAGGATCCATTAAGATCTTTTTAATAATTGTTTCCAAAGACACATTTGAAGGAAATTAACAGAGAGAAACACTACATTCTGGTGCAATCGATGCGTTTTTGTCCGTGTAACATCTCAGTCAGGTTTTTCTAAGTCTGAGGTCATGTGGCTCCATCTGCAGGAAGTAACAGAATTGGAAACAGGAAAGAGGAAGTTATTAGCTGGGATGATCTGAGCACGCTGGTCTGCAGAGTACATCAAGAGAACAACATGCACTCCCATCATACGCGGTGTACAGTTTGTGTGTGTGTGTGTGTGTGTGTGTGTGTGTGTGTGTGTGTGTCCGTGTGTGTGCGCGCCACATGAGGAAGAGGAAGGCATTAGACATGGACAGAGGTCTGAGTACAGACTGAGCTGTCCCGACACCTGTGTGTGTGTTTGCGTGTATCTTTGGGAAACCTCGCTGAACTGCCTTGTCTAAGCTTGACAGCTGCACGATCTCAGTCAGTCACAACAAAACAGCACTTCCTGAAAACACCATGACGTTCAGGTAAACCTTCAAAATAAAGGAAATAAAGGAAGCACCTGAATAAATGACATAATGCTTCCCTGTAGTCGGCGTGGGGCTCACGCTCCTGTCATCGCTGGACTGGAAGCCAGAAAATGACTAATCTGATCAATTTTAGCAGTTTAAGAAATAAGACCGCTATTATTTTATTATTTTTTATGTAAAGTTAGAGCAAACGCTTATCCCTCAAGACTGTATTGATACGCTTGTAAAAATCACGTCTGTTTGGTGCTGAAAACAAAGTGCTATTGCGTTCTTGTCCAGAGTAGAAAGTGAACTGATTGAAAACTTAAATGTTCAACCATTACACCTCTGATACTCACTGATTCTGTTCAAACAATACAAATTTGAGAGACGCAAAGTAAAGTTCTCAGCAGATACAGACATGAAACCCCTTTTCCAGCACACTGACTCAATAGGCTCCTGAATATTCCCACCTTCCTTAAATAGAGTTCTCTCATCCAGGTGCTTCCCTTTTACACAACCGGGAAGAAAGGTCAGAGTGAAGTGGCAGGGATGTGTGTGTGTGTGTGTGTGTGTGTGTGTCCCAAACGGGGCCAGCAGCCAACTACCAGTCTTCTAACTCTGAAGTTGTATTTATACGTGCAATCTCTTCTAGTTGGCTCCGCTTTCCTGCAGGCACGTGTCTGACTTGATGACCTTAGAAGAGGAAACAGGGGAATTCCTGATTTTACTTTAAAAAAATAAACCAAGTTCACTTGAGGTGACAGATGCATGCTATGGTATAGAAACTATGTTGTTAGGAATTAAATGAATCTTTAATCCCCGTCACACTAAGGCTGGGTTTACACGAAAGAAGAACCAGCCAGAGACTCGATATGCCGATGCGGAGAAAACAAAGTGATGCAGGATAGATGGGTGATGTAGCAGCCCGACGTTTCCAGAAGAGACTGTTCAAACTTAAACCGAAGCAAGACTGAACATTTCAAAACCGTCTTACTTTAAATGAAGCAACATCAAAAAAGACATGCTGAAAGGGCACCTGAACAATCAGACATCTAGACCTTGAGAAAAGCTCTTGAACCGTCTCTCCTTCTCCTCCGTCGCCCTCCTCTCTCTCCCATCTCTCCATCTTAATCCTGATGGTGTTAATTGAAAGTCAGGAGAGGGCACTCCAGCGGTTTCATTATTAATTTAACACTCGGGGTAACTTAAAGTGCAATTTTCAACCACAAGTGTAACAGAAAAATCAATGGTCACAACAGCGACGAGTATCAAGGTTGTTTACCGATGAACCGGGTACGACAGGCGAGGCGGCCGTTGCTCGAAAGAGTGCCTGAGCGGTTATTGTTGCGCGCACCGTGTTTTGACACCGTCTCTGTATCACAAGGCAGCGGGTAAACAACAAAAAAAGTGCGATCTTCTGATTAAAATGACAGCCTGTGTGATTAATCTTCTCGTACAAAATGGGCATAACCTTAAACGGTACCTCTGTGTGTGTGTTTTTTCCCCCCCAAAGTTAAATTGTGCACATACATGACTTTATGTCTTATTACCCCCAGCGCTGCACAGCTCTCCCCTGTGCTGCGGATTAAATGGGGGGAAATAAAGGTATATTGCTCAGTAATGCAATCTGTCCAGTGGCTTGAGAGATGAGCAGCCTGCCCTTTGCGCTGAGCGGACTCACGGATGATTTAGAGCGAGCAGATGGGAAATTCTAATATGTTAGCCTAACCCTGAATGGCTACAAGGTAATTTATTTCAAACCCTGCGCGAATATTTTTTTCCCCCTCTCTTCTTCCCCTTTAAATACAACTCCGCTCAACTTGGGCTCTGCGTTTTGAAACACGAACCAGAATAAGTGGAAGGAAAAGTAACCGTGAAATCCTCGGAAAGAAGCTTCAGCTTTACAAAAAACAAAACCCCACAGAAACTACCCTCTAGTTTTAAAGGTTTATGAGCCTAAACCATACTTGCAGTACTTCTTAATCAACTGACTTCAATATTCAGTTATTTGCCAATGTGAAAACTGCCATTTTGGAGGTAAGTATTGATTCATATTACATTCGTCCATGTTCCTCCACGAGGAGATGCGTCCCGCCTTACAGGACAAAACGGGTCACAAATAACCATCTGCAATGTGCCATGGTTAATGTTTCTGGGATTATACTGGAACCAATAAAACGTTGGAACTGTGCAGGCTCGGCTGTAAGCGCTGTTGCCAGTGAACGTGCTTAAATAAGTTCAGGAGTTTTAAAAAATTTTATGTAGAGAACTCGGCGTGAACGGTGCTCCATTTCACCTGCGTACAGCTCATTCTGCTGCTGCTGAACACCAGGATTCACTTCTGTTCAGAAGTGAATGAAACTCTTAGTCATGGTTGTGTTAAGGAAACTTTATCCACTTTATCGTACAGAAAGAGAGGCAACTTTCACTCAGAAAAGACGAACCACTTGGTGACTTTTATGCACAAATCTGATCAAATATTCTCCTACATGCCTTTTTCTTTGCTTCAAATAAAATGCTGCAATCCGAAGGGGTCAAAACTGATAGGTGATGCAGACGATACAAATTTTAATTTGTACTTTGGTTTTATTGTCACTGCACATCGCACTGCTTCTCCTGGGTTTGTATGCAGACCAGTAGAGTAATGAACCTAATGGTGCTTGATGTATTCTGACACTGACTTCTCTCTTCATCCATTCTGCAGGTGTGTTTGGATGAAAAGGAGCACAGATGTTTGTAATTAGCTTCATTCCAGAGACAGATTGATTGATTTAAACCCTTCACTTCTGTTAAAGATCATTTTCTGTTTACAACTAATGAAAACATTACACATTACCAGACAAATAATAAAAAATATAAGCTTAAAGAAAAGTGTGTTTAATACCTGTACAAAGATTATAATTTTTTCTGCCTCAGTGTCGTTTTATACAATCAAGTAACAATCTTATCTACAGTTGTTATAAAAACGCCATCTATATCAAATATGACCTAAAAGAAATTTGACTCTGTAGTCTGATGGCATAAAATAGGGCCTCTGTCTCTTTAAGAGCGTTGGATTGAGAAGTGGATCATATGATGAGCACAGCAGATGCGCAGTTCCACCAAGTGCTTGGTAATTGCTGCTGCCGCTAGTCTGTAGGAGTGGTGTGGGTAAGAGGTGAGGGAGCGGGGCCCTGTGAGGCGGGAGCTCGGCTCAAGCGTTTCGGCACCCCTCAGTGGTTGCCACGGGCGACTCAAGGTTTCCTCAACAATGCAGGAAATAATCAAAGCTTTGCTTTTACTCCACTCAGACGGTGCAGGCCTGTGTTTCATATCAGGCCGTTTCAAGTCCTTAGGACGTTAATCTAGTTGTTTCAGGTCATGACTAGGTTGTTATGTAATTTGAATGTGGCTTGAAGAGTCTGATTTTCTTTGTTTGGTATCATGGCTCCAAATCACTGTGCATTCATACTTTACTTAACTATCGTTTACCATAAATAAATGTTGGTGCGTTGATGTCTTTTTTTTTTTTTGAGCTAGAACTCAAACACTCGATTCTCTCCTGAATTATGACAACACACCCTTTTATAGAAACACGTGGTTCCCCCTTTTACTTCCTAAGATCATTTATAAGAAGCTGAATGACGCATGTTTTTATTTATTTATTTATTTTTTGAACGCGTCCACTCCGAAGTGGTCAAATCCGTCTTGATAAACACTTTATGCAGATGAGCTTCCACTTGTTTTCCCTTTCTTGAGAGATGGAGTGGGAAGGCGAAATAATACCTCTCAAATTGACCCATTTGGATGCTTCTCTGCCCTCAGGAGGGGTGCGGGGGGGAAGGTGATGGGGGGCTCAGCTTTTAATGTTTGATTGGCCTAATTTCCCCAACACATCATTAGTAGCCATCTTCAGCCCCCGATTCTTAATAACCTCTTTACGAGGCGAATGGATGCCGTTAAAAGTCTTTGTCTCCTCCATCCCTCTCCCCAGGTCCCGGAACCCTCCTCGTCCTCTTAATTAAGTCAGATGTTTCAAAATATGGTAATGGGCCCTGAACTTGTTTGAATTAAACAAGCGAGCGTCCATTGGACTCCTCGGCCATTTACATAATTTCATTATCGGGGCAAAAAACACACTAATTGTCGAGTGTGCGTGTTTGTGCGAGGGAGAGCGCGTTCGGGGGGCGAGCCAGTGATTCCTTGGCAGAAAAACAGCACTAATTACGACGCGAGTGGCAGGACTCCAGAGCCATTTACA